TTTAAGTTTTATATGTTTGGATGGAAAATTAAAATCATTAATGATCACAAGCCGTTAACTGCAATCGTAAAAAAGGAAATTCACAAAATTCCTTCCGCTAAATTACAAAATATTCGATTGAAACTACTAAATTTTGAAATAGAACTTGAGTACAGACCGGGAAAAACAATCCATATAGCCGATTACCTTTCTCGTCATGCAGGAAAATATGCAGCAAATGACTTGGATAGCGACTTAGACAACTATGTACTCAGCATTAATGTAAGTGATGAGCGGAAAAGTCAATTTCAGAGAGAGACCACTATGGACCCAATTCTAAGTGTTATTAAGAACTATTGTTTACATGGGTGGCCACACAACAAAGCCAAATGCAATGAAATAGCTAAATGTTTTTATAAAAGCAGAAATGAAATTTATTTAGATGATTATATATTATTTTTTAATGAAAGGATTATGATACCGATAACAATGAGGCAACTAGTGTTGAAGCAACTTCATGAGACACATAGTGGAATAACAAAAACAAAAAATTAAGCTAGCAATGCAGTTTATTGGCCAGGAATGGACGATCAAATTGAACAAATGGTTAGCACATGTAGGACTTGTCAAGTAAACGCTAATAAAAATCAAAAAGAGACGCTTATTGCTCATGCAATACCGAAGAGGCCCTTCGAAAAAGTAGCTTGTGATATATTTCAGTTTAAGAATAAGGATTACTTAGTTGTTGCTGACTATTTTTCAAAATGTATAGAGCTCAAAGAGCTTAAGAGCAAGCAAGCCAAAGATGTAAATTTGCAATTGACTGAAGTGTTTAGTAGAAATGGAATACCTAAAATTGTAATTACAGACAACATGCCTTTTAACTCTTTCGAATGCAATGAATTCGCAAAATTGTTGGATTTCAAATTTGAAACAAGTAGTCCACATTATCCAAAATCAAACAGTCTAGCTGAACGCGCGGTTCAGATCTGCAAGAATATAATGAAAAAATCAAATACTATACAGAATGTATATATGGCATTATTAGATTATCGAAATACTCCCACAAGAGATTTATCTTTCTCTCCATCTCAATTAATTAACAGTAGGGTTTTGCGCTCTAAAGTACCAATGATAAACAAAAAATATGACCCTCAAATTTGTGCAAATGCTATAAATCAAATCAAAAGCAAACAAGACAATATGAAACAATTTTACAACCGAAACGCTAAAAGCCGAGAGAAATGTATGTTAAACGAAGAAGTATATGTGTGGGCAGATCGCTGGGAAGAAGGTACAATATCCAAGGTTTGGCATACACCTCGTTCGTATTTAGTCAAAACGAAAAACAACGAATAC